AGGGAGGGAGGGTTGATTGGTGGCCCTAGTTAGTATCCTAGTATCCTTCCCTCAATCTTGCAATTGTTGTCTTATTTACTTCTGAATTACTCTCATTTGGAGCAAGAGTCTGTCTACACTAGAGCTATAATTGAGTAGGACCACTAATGTCTCATTCTTCTGGGAGAAGCATCCATGGAGAATGTGAAGTAAAGGAACAGACACATTTGCAGCTTTAAATCCATTTGTAGTCTGCTTGGGATATGCATGGAGCTGATGAATTATGTACTGGAAAAAGTTCTGTTTCCTTGCGCAGGAAGGTGTCCTGGCACTGCCTGTGCAGTGAAATGGAGAAGTTGCACACTCTATTCCCTCCCCTTTGCACACTGCCAGCCCCTTTACCTGATTGTGAGTCACCTCTCATGTGCAAAGAACTGGTAATGTATCCCAGCTCTTGCAGCAATTGTCCCATTGCCACTGTTCCTGTTTTACAGTTGAAAAACAGAGTTGGGGAGAGTGATTTGCGGCCATTGCACAAGAGGGGGTCGACATACCACAGATCTCCAGATGAGGCAACGAATAGGGCCAGACCCTGCTCGGCCACCATCACTGTAGTTTAATCTGCAGAGTAGTGAGTTGGGGAAACGTTGTGTCTAACTAGCTCTGGGTTCAGCTCTCCAGCCAACCACAAAGTCATTGGGTTGCGAAGTATAATTGCTCTTTGTTGGTTTCACATGGGTGATGCAAAGTTAAATGGAAGTGAAGCAGGAGAACTTGGTTCTTGAGATGCTTGTGAACTGGCCTCTAGAATCAACCTGGTTTTGAGGGGTGTCTGCCTCCCTTTAGGAACCAGGGCAGTCAAGAGTCCCTGGCTTCGTGCCCTCCTCCTGCTCGGTCCTCTGGAAAACACAAACCTTCAGCAGAGCAGCCCAAGAGAAAATGTCCTGGGAAACTGCCAGGGAAAACAGACGGGCTTTTTGCTTGTGAAAGCAGAGCTTGGGAGGGGGGAGCGGAAGCAGAGAGCGAGCGCTTGGCTGCCCCCACCTCTGGGGAGGATGGAAACCACCCGGCTACGAGCAGAGGGCTTGGTCTGTGGGCCTTCTGGGAGGTATCGGGGAGTTGTGAAATGTGAGCAAGGTAAGGTGACAGCAGAGCTGGCAATTTGCAAAGGGTGAGTTATTGCCCCCCCGGGCAACTTTGTGTTCATGCTCACACTTTTCTTTTTTGCACACCATAACGGTGCCACCACAGCTACGTGTAAGAAATCTGGACAGTAGAATTGCTGCTGATTGAAAGGCCTTTTTTGCCTGGCAGCCACCATCTCTAAGTTAGCCTTTCCCAACCTGATGCCTCCTGGACTGGTTGGGTTACAACTTCCAGAATTCCCAGCTACAAGTTGGAAAAGGCTCTTCTGTAGAGACTAAGGGGTGTCCGACTTTCTTCGAAAGGCCACAGTTCAGGAAACAGTTTCCGTTTCAGATGAAAACCACAAGAGCAACTCATACACTGTTGATCAGAAACGATTTCCGGGTTCCTGGAATGAGCATTGCGAGGGAAGAGGTCATGTGCCCTGGTGGGCCGAGCGGGTTGCAGTCTTGCCACATCAGAGGATTCCCCAAGATTCTTGAAGTTCAGATGTGCTTGTTCATGGCAACTGGTTGTAAGGCCTTGGAGCAGGGCAGGATTACATTTGCAGAGGAAATGGAGGACCATGGAAACAGCTGGGTTTGGTTTGATCACCTCTCCGGGACGACAGGAGAATATGTGATCCTTCCCACCCAATTCAGTTAAATGAGAAGGATACTTCCACAAAATAAATGTAGTGTGTATAGTTCAAGATTCTGTAAATTAGAATGGAGACAACATCAAGGGAGACCTCAGTTCAAATTCCTGTTCAGCCATGAAGGCCATTGGGTGGTCACCAGCTTGTAGCCTAAACTATCTCACAGGGTTGCTGGGAGGTTAGAAATCGGATGATGAGGTCCATGTACACAGCCTTGATCTTCTTGGAGGAAAGGCAGGGAATATACTTACAATCAAGAAAGGAAGGATCTGAAACAGGGCCCTTTTAGCATTCTTCTTCCAAAGCTGTATCATCTTTTGCCCTAACTATTGTAAGCATTTTCTTACCTGGTACCGGAATCCCTTGTTCAGACACAACCTCAAGGTTTTTAATGTAGGGATAAAAGCATGCCTTCCCTGGAAATTTTGGTTTATTCACTCTGTAGGACAGGAGTGGACAAAAGTAGCTGTTTACTATACGGCCAAAACCTTGAACACAATAAACTGAGACATCAAGCCGAGTTGTTATATAATTTCTGTATTTTTCCTTTTTTAGTGGCTCTTTACAGAACACATGGGCCTTTTTCAGTATTTAACAAACTTCAGTCAATCTTGTAGAAATTGTTTCAAAGTACAGTACGTGAGCCTAGAAAAGGTGGCTGACGCATCTCGCCAGCTTTGAATACAACAGGTCCCTCTCAAGGGTGGAAAACCAACACCTAAGCGCTTAGTGTAAAAAAAAAAAAATCCCCTTCCACTAACACTGATCTTGAGCCTATGGTGAAGAAAAATTCATGGACCCAACCCCACATTCTGTTTGGGTAGACAGAAGTTGTATTTGTTCAGAAGGTTGCTAGGTAGATGGCCTTTCCAGGTCCTTTCGGTGCACAAATAGACTGAACTGTGTAAAAGAGGGAACATGAAATATATAAAAATACTTTCTGTTCTGATAAAAATGCACATCATGGAATGGGGAGGGGAAAAAACATACTTTGGGGGAGGTGACCGGCTTCTCTTTACCTGTGGCTTCAAAAAGGTTTTATTACATGGAGAGGAATAGATTAATGGATGGGTGGAAAGCTCAATTAAAAGCTGGAGCAGAGGGAGGTCCACCTTTTGGGTCTCCTCCCTTCATGTTATGACAGCAACGTCTGGACACTAAGGAAGACACCCTGGCCATCTTGAGAGAGTCCCATCAGCTCCTAATCTAAGTTTTGAGCTGAAGTCAAGGGGAGTTCCTCAAATAATTCAGGGACCAAGCCCCTGACACAAACCTGGCTATCAGGATCCTTCAGATGTCTCTGGCAAGGAGGACGGATCCAGGCAAGGCCTTTAGAGAAGGATTGGAGGTGAGCCTGGCTTTTAATTACTTTGGTGGTATCAGTTTTATAAATGGATTCAGTAATGCCAAAGTGCATTACGCCAACAACCGTAAGAGGAATTATCCTGTTCAGGAATTGCAGCCAGGTTATTGCCTAGGACGTGAGCAGGCCAATGCATTCCCCTCCTGTCGCTTTTACTCCCCACCGATTAAATCTCAATAGGAGTGTGCTGAGTCCAAATTAAGGTGTTGGGGGAGCAGGAAGTGCCCGCTTTTGGATTTTAAAAAGAGGTTTTAGATTTCTGCATACCTCTGGAATCTTCTGAGCATGCAGAAATGTTCTTTTTCGTCAGCTGCCTTGGGTTGGCTGTAATTCTGAGTTCTCTATTATAAATACAATAATGGACGGTTCCAAATGAAGGTTAGGATGGCTATGTGGACCGGGGTTTCTACATTTAGCTCCCGAAGAAGGAATATTTGCAGTCGGCACCAAACTGGCCCGTGTGTATTTTTTGCCTTCTCCCGGCCTCTCTGGCCGGTTCTGCATCAAACAAATGAAAACAAATGTGACAATCAGGAAGGATGGCACCTGTTTGCAAAAACGTATTGTTTGAGTACACTATGCATAAATGCAGAGTTAACATACAAAATAAGGTGTGCAAATTTGCATAAAGATCTCAGAAGAAAGGCCCGTTCATCAGAGAAAAAGGTCTAGGTAAGTACATCAAAGTCAAAGGAGTGAGAAACCAGAGAGAAAAGCTTTGGAAATCATAGTTATGGGAAATTTCAGATTCAGTTTTGAAGCACCAAAACGTTACCCCAGAGAACCATGCCTAGATCCCTACATCCACCTCGAGACATCCCAAGCAGAGACTACATTAATTCCCCCCTCCCGCCATGACAATGAAGATTGGGAACTTGGTGGTGGTGATTTTTTTTCAGAAAGAGTGTTCATTTCTAGAAAGGCAAATCTCGTGTCAAATAGAGAACCTTTCCCTTGCAGAATCTTGGAGAAAGATCCTGGGCATAGCTAAGTAAACCACCGTCCGTTTAAAAAAAAAAAAAATTGGTTATCTTAATACGCACAGATCTCCTTGCACACTTGCGCACACAATGCTGCTGCCTCTCTCAAAATTAGTAAGGAGGGCAACTCTGCTCCCCGTCTGTAAACCATGGGGACGATCATTTTGTGGGGGAAAGGGACAGGGCACAAGCCAACGTTTTACATTCTTATTTTGTAGGGCTCAGCGTGGCAAACGTTTCAAAAGCTCTGCTTTCCTCCGAACCTGAAATGTTGAGCTAAGCACACAGGGAGCATTTTCATGCATAAAAAAGGGTGTCCTGGTTCTCGTTAAAAGTCTGTCCCATCAGAAACCAGACTTGTAACAGACTGTTCAAATGACCAAAGGCATCTTTTTGAAACAAAAGATGCTTTTTTCTCTTTTAAGTGGGAAAGAAAAGGCTCCTCCTTGGCCCGTGTTTTCAGATGCCCTCTTTGTAAAGGTCAGAAAGTCAGCTCTGGAATCAGGGTACACCTTGTTCAGAAAGGCTCTTGCAAACGTATTTCTATACCATACACAACAGCATGCAACACACTTCTTTTTTTTCTGTGTTGCCAAAAAAAAGAGAGAGAGAAAATAAAGGGGATTACCCAAACTAAAGAACAGACTCAAGATGGCACCACAGATTCCAAATTTAGAGTCTTCGTGGACTATAAGACAAGGTTCTTGACGGGCTGTCATGATGTCTTACAGACAAATTCAGAGAGGAAAGACACCCCTCTGGTGATCAAGTTTAGTAACATTTTGGTCAGTCTCATAGTGCTTCTTGATGGCTTTGATCAATGAGCCAAGGTTATATTGTTTAAAATTTAATTTTTTTTCTTTAATCTCATCCAGTGGCAAACTACAAGACTTTCAGTGGGCATTTAATGATACAACTGATACAGTTTATAGCTATCTTTTAATATCAAAGCAGCTTGAGCTGTTAATAAATTCCAAAGTTTCCTTTTATTAAAATATCTAAAAGAGGTCTATAAATATTATTTTAATATTTTTTTTCCTTCTAAAAGTGTTCTCAGTTTGTTCCTGTGTGTCTGTTTTCACATTTAAAACCCCCAAACGTCAGTTTTATGTTACCTTCAGGAGCTAAGAAAGAGCAGCTACAACAGGTAGCAATCCCTCATGTTCGACAAAACAGAGCTGATTTTTTGTCTCTTCCTTAGGACTTGATGAAATTAATAAAATATGTGTGTATGTGTGTTCATATATATATAGATCTATTTTTTCTATACACTCTGCTAGGACTCCCTGCTTCTTCAACGTGTTCCACGGAGTTTAGAACCCGGACAACATAATTTGGGTATTCGGTTTTGATTTTTTTTTTCATTTGGCCTTTCAAAACTCCCACTCCAGAGTCTCTTCGCGGTTAGCGGCTCTCTCTAGCCGATGAATAATACTGTTGAGGTTAGCCATTTTCTCATTCCGCCGCTGGATGTTCGTAGTCAGTTTCACGCTGGGGGGCGCAGCGCCCGCATCTGCGGCCGGACTCGAACTCTGCCCTTTGGTGGCCGTGATGCTCGCCGGCAAGGGGGAGATGGGGGCTGAGGAGGATGGGACAGGTGAGACAGACACCATGAGGCCTGGCGAGGAGGCAGCGGACGGAGAAGTTAGAGAAACTTCCAAGCTGCAGCGGGAGGACTCAGAGGCGGATTTAAAGCTAATGTGGTCCAAGTGAGACCTCTCATGGCTGTCTGTCTCCATGGGGCTATGAAAACCAGAATAATCATGGGCCCCAGGTAGGTGTGTCTTGCTACGCAGGGTGCTGCCCCACGTGAGGCTGGGAGCTTCGTGTGGGCTCGCACAGCCGGGCTCCCCCGGCTCTTCTCTGGGACTGGATCTGGATACGGGCTCTACCTCCCCTTCCGGACTACTAGAGTCTCTGCTGCTTGCACCATCGTCCTTCTCGCCTGCTTCCAGCAACTCCTCCTTAATCTGAACCAGCGCTTTACATTCTCCTTGGCACTCAGCATCTCTGAACGTGGGCTTCTGGTCCTCCCCTTCCGAGTCAGGGCTCTGGGGCTGGGCAGCCTTGAGCAAATTGCCAGCGGGTGTCACGCTCTGCTCCGGATCTGTGTCGTCCTGCGCTCCTTCCACCAGCATCTCTCGGCGCATCCGAGATCTGCCAAAGAAAAAGGCCATGGAGTCTTTGCAATCCAGCCACAGGAGATTCCCGAAACATCAGCAAGCAAGAGAGAGAGAGAGAGACAATGCTAGCGTGGTCAGGAGGCTGAGAACCTCTTGAATTGCCTCCAACTCCTTGACTGGGTTTGCACAACACAGTTACCCCCACCCCCCATTAAAGACCAGAGGGCTGCTTTCTCACAACATGGAAAGTTTGGTTGCTTCTTTGAGGCTTAGCATGTTTTACCAATTGTTTGGGCAGCCTACGATTCTGTATGTGCACCCAGAAAATGGATTAATGTAGTAGGCAGGCTAAGTGTGTTGTGCAAATACAGCCATTATGTGGATACAGAAATAAAAAAGGTGTCTTTCTGAGAGCCACAGGGCTTATCAAGAGCACAGAAATCTGAGGGTGAGGCCAAAATTGCAAATGGAAAAACACAATTAATACTCTAGTAGCCCAGACGTTTTTGTGGCTGCCTTTACACCAGCTGGTATATTAGCACTACCTTTCATCTGTAGTGAACTCTCTGCCTCAAAGGAAAGTCTGTTTGATGAAAACCTTAAAGGCCCAGAAGGACCATGAGGTGGAGGTGACCTGCTTTTTACCTGTAATTGTGGAACCAGTTAATCACCGTGTTGGTTTTGAGGTTCAGCTGGAAGGAGAGCAGCTCGATCGTCTGCTGGGAGGGGTAAGGCTCCAGCTGATAGGCCCTCTTCAGGGTCTCCTTTTCCTCTGGAGCTAAGACCACCCTTGGCTTCTTGATCTGCAGGAGACTGAGGTCTTGCAGCTGAAGGCTGGGGCTGGGGCACTCGGAGCGAGGGTTGGGAGACTCGCTGTCCGAGCCAGCACTGATCAGGCCATAACGACGTTTCAAATACGCTACAAGAACAGAAGAAGCCACATTCTCAGGGGTTGCCTTCTTATCATGAATCTAACAGGCCTTTCCATTTCCCAAAGAGGGGAAATGACCAGTGGGCCTTTCTCTGCCACAAGGTGTGTTGAATGAAGAGGAGGCAGGAGAACAAATCTGTGACTTTCATACGAAAAGGGAGAAAGCACATCTTCACTTCTATCAATCCCAATCAGGCAACAGGTTATGAAAAGTTGCCACTGATCCATGAAATAAAAATATTTTGCTCGCTGCAAAATAAACTCTTTCTTATCAAAGTGAGGGAAGGAAAATATACACCAGCCTAATCTGCTGGCAAGCAATTTAGTGCCACAAGCGGTAGGAAATTAATCAACACTTTTAAAGGAAGGATGTGAGCTCACTTGTAAACGAGTCGTTGCAAAAAATCACAAGCACCAGGCTTGTACTGACAGACGTCCCCCATGAGCAGCAGCATTTTTTGTGAGCAAGAAACACAAGCAAGTTATTCACACAACCTTGGCACGCTTGACCATTCCCTGTTCACTTAAAGGGGCTCATCCTAGAGAGTTTTATGGTAGGTCCAGTTTCACTGACTCATGTAGTATCTCCAGAGGGCACGTGAAGCTCGCCCTGCTCCAGGGGTTACACCTAACACATCTACCCTTATGCCTCCAAGCCAGGAACATGAGCAACGAGTCCACCTCACCTTTCTTCTCCAATTTTTTCATGTCCCGGAGCTTGTCAACATTGTGAGGGTCATTCAGCCAGAGCTGCATGCGGACAAACGGTTCCCTTCCTTTAAGACTCAGTTTATGCCAAGGCTTGGGCCTTGAAAGGAGATCCGAAACCGATCCCTGCGTCAGGCCAAGGATACTCTCTCCGAAAAGCCGCTGACCTAGCCAGGAAGACAAATTGGAAGTTGGGATTGCAGCCTGCAGGTGAAGGTCAATTAATTGTCTTTAAACAGGAAGGAAGTTTATCTAAATCAGTGTTTCTCAGCCTTGGCAACTTTAAGCAGTGTGGACTTCAACTCCCAGAATTCCCCAG